ATGGCTACTCCACCCCCCATTAAAAATACATATTGTCACACACTCCAATTTTAGCTAATTTATTGTAAAATCTAGGTATGTTCATACCTCGAGGCAACACTGATTCATTGTTACTAGGTACAGAAGCACGTTAAGCGGAAGCTTCCTCTCTTTGGCCAAGATTCATTTAAACCCGTCGAGCTATTTATGTTGGGTGCGCGCTGGGTTGAATTCTCAGAAGGTCATTAAAACATAAGGTCATGGGTGGAAAAACCAAGCCATCCTCAGCTGGCAAACCTTTGATGGGTTATGATGAAATAGTTATTCAAGAAGATGATTCCAAATGTTGTTCGTGTACACCGAGTTGGGTCAAGACGTTTTTAATTTTCTTCACTGCAATTATCTTGGTATTTTGTCTTAAAATATTTATATTGGCTAGCTGATTGCATTAGCTTTAATCGGGTTGGGAGTTTTCCTCCTAGTTATTCGCTTGCCCTATGTTCCCGTGCTGCTGGGTGAAATTGCTTATTTGAGTCATTTTCTAATGTTCGTTGTTGGAGGACTTCTGGTGGTCGTGTGCATAATTGGATTCATCGGAGTTTCAAGTGGAAAGTCCACTCTGCTTTTGACAGTAAGAATTTACAGCATTATTCTACTTATAGTTTGCTTGGATATTGTTCATCATCTTATTAATTCAATTCACTACTGGTATTTTGGCTCTGTGTTTCTCCAATATTCTGACTGAATGGCTTGCTGATAGATTGATGCTTACCATGCAAACTCTGTACTTCCGCGACACTAATGGGGTTGACGCTGCTGTAGACCACATACAACAAAAGTTCAAATGCTGTGGATCAAGGAGTTACCGAGATTGGACAGATAGCATCTTTCAAAATTATTCGAAACGAAATGAAATATTACCATATCCAGACTATCCACTAGTTGTTCCTGATTCATGTTGCGTAAGATCAGTTAAAAGCTGTGGAACATTACCGCACCCATCGAATGTTTATAATGAGGTAGGTGTTATATATATTTGAACACAAATATTGGTGCAAGAGCTCACTGAATAAATATGCGCCACAAAAGTCACTTGATGTGTGTGTGGGTTGTGTTACTACCCGGGTGCCCAGACCTAAGCAGGTGGTTTTCTTATTTGGCCACACCCGAAGCCTTCGACATAAAGCTCTAATCCACAAGGCAATAGATTTACGTTGAGAGATGCAGTCTCATGGTAGCCAGTGACCAACGATAGGTGAAAGTGCCGGACATTCGCTTTTCGTCTTCTCAATTCCATAAACAACATCCGCTTCTCGAGAAGGCAGTGAACATGAGTTACCTGTCAGTGGCTGTATACGTGTGGTCATGTGAGAGCATTTCTGAAGGGAGAGCGGACTCTCTCCAACCTCGGCCATATATATAGACAATACATTTGAGGATAGTAGAAATACTATTTTCGTTAAGTTCCACATAGTAAAAAATTTAGATTTCTGATTCTTCGTGGCTTGATGTACACCAATTCTTTGTCAGCAGTCTACTCAGTACTCATTTTATTCAAAACTACTAAGTCAAACCTTAGTAGTGATATATCTCAAGATACTACGTATTATTATATTGCATACTTCGCTTTTATCAGTCATAGTGTAGGACCTGGCACGTATGTACGTCAACTCAAATTGCCACACCTCATTGCACACAGACTAATGTAATTGTCAGGCCGAATCCCAGAATAGTAGAGGTTGTAACAACATCAGTGGTAGTATGAAAGACTAGGCATCGAATATACGGTTCGAGAAAATATAAATTAGTAAACTAAAAACTAAAAATGTTATGAAGAGTCTAGAATCTGATAATTTTGGTTAAATGAATAACAGATGTGCCTGCACTATTGTAAATAATTTTGAGCCGCCATTCAAAGTTTGTGAATACTAGTTACGACAGTCGTGCGGACCCTAGCCAGATGGTCTACATCTGTCAATATGACCCGGTCTAATTTTCAATGGCTTCATGGACTGAGGCCACATTTTAGCTTACCCGCCCCTAGCTTTCTTCCAATTCAGTGCTGCACCAGACTACATCAGCAGTCGAGGTAGGAAGTGGTTGGGCATACGAAACATGCTCAAAAAACTCAGTTGATCGATTTCCCATCTTTACCTAGTACTATATTCCTCACCTAGGGATTCCTTACTCTGTAGTTCCAAAATACATGAGCAATACTTCGAAGACGTCTATGATCGAATGTCAGTAACCTGCGAATATCTTTTTTTCATAATGACCTTGTTTCTCATCCACAAAGTAGAACGGAGCGAATTGTTTCGCAGCAAACCCGCCGTCTGATTGGAAGACGTCACAAGTAACACAAGTCCGGCAAAAGCCGATGGAGCCTTCTGAATCAGTGACGAGACTTCATCAGACACCAGGTCATCAAAACTGGTGATAATCCCAAGATAAGTCAGATGGTCAATGCGTTCAGTTACTTCACTCACTATCATTAATTCAGAAGATGACTCAAGCCAGTTTTGAAGTAACATTTTACATTTGTAGGAAGAGAGCTGCTTCCTGAATATGTTTACATTGTTGCTTTAGGTGGTCAGAAAACTGCATTTTGTCAGCATCTTCACCAAACAGAACTATGTCATCCGTGTATTTTGAGCTGACCATTGTATCTTCTGGTAAAGGACCAACTACTAAAAAGTTAGAGGATAAAAGTGTCATCTCTAAATCTGTGTCTATAATAGAGCTAAATAAAAATGGAAAAAGTGGACAGCTCTGACAAACACCACTTGAAGTAACCAATTCTGATGAGTTTCCCATAAGTCCTGACTCTATCAGTAGTGTTCGTGTGGAGAGCCTTTGCAAGGTTTGTGTGATTGTCATGAGACATTTATTGTTTCGAGGTGCAACTACCACCTACTTACAAATATCGTAATTACTGAATCTACCGAATTGAAAAATGTTCGGAAACTCGTCTTGTCATGCCCCAAACAACAAAGAGCGACAGTAACTTAAACTGATAAAGCGTCTGACTAACGATTGTGAGTAGCTGTGGACAACGAAAGCGAGATAGATAGGAAAAGAAATAGCGCTGTATAACACTAAACAACTACTCAGATTTATCAAAAAACCAGGTATTCGAAAGTCAGTTGTTAGTGAAGCTATCTCTGTAAAAGATGAAATAGTGCTCTATCCGCAGTTCAGATGCTAAGAACGATGGATGGAACACTTGAGGACAGATCAACAGGGCCTCAGTTACTCCCTGCTCCCAAACAACTTGGATAGAAAATCGTTACAGGTCTCACGACTTTAAATGGTCACATATAATTAAGGTACGGAGAGCAGTATGATTAAACGGGTTAAACTCAGTGCTTGTTGATGGTGGTCCAGTCTTACCGTCTAAGTTGACTGAAGTATTAGCTAGACTCAGATAACTAGGCTTCATTTCATCTGGCTTGTCTCGATCGCTGATTACCCTAGTTCATACGAAAGAGATCATGCGACAGCCAGCTTAGCGAATACTCGCGTTTAAGACATTGTTCTACATAGTCATTTGATGTCTAATTGGAACTCTGAAGCAGCCGATTTTACACCGAGCTTTGTTTATTGACCAAATGTTTACCCTCCGTCAAGTTTTAGAAACCAGTTACACTGATACCCTATCATGACCGTATTCTTTATTCGAAAGACTCCATTCGACTGAGTCGATCGGAATGTTCTGCGATAAGTTTCTAACTGAATGATGTACCGAAAAAATACGTAAACCGTATAAGTCGTTCACGTATGTGCGTTAGCCTAAGTCCGATACTAGTACAACGCGATGAAATTAAAATGATGACTATCGAAACAAGAAATAAGATGTATAACGGAATACCGGAGCTCAAGTTTTAGACGCAAACCTTCTAAAGCTCAGAGGTTATGGTAAGTCGTCATATCAACTGGCAGCGGTGTTGCTCGTTTCATTTTGTCACAAGCATCCTAGTGCTGACGTCCTCACCTGGTTTCATGATCCACCAGAAGATTCGCTTACTGACTTATTGAATACCCAGATGACATTGCTCTTTTTAGTGAAGACCTTGACGAAATGTAGTCTTGTAAACACCTTGAGTAACAATGCAGGCTTCTTTAAGATGTTTCTCCCTTTCGAAATAAAGAATGTTGCTTCGGGGGCTTTGGATGAGCCAATAGTTTATGTGGTCACAAGGAGTGAACGCGTTGACCACCACTTACGTTCTTAAGCGGTCCTAATGAGACCTCGACATAGATTCTGAAAGCCCACTTAGCTTTCGCCAATTGGTCACCTGTAACGTCCGCCAACGAAGAGAAACATATTGCACAAGAACTTACTAGTTGTTATCCTGTAGGTGTGAAATATGCTCTCTCAGTATTTGGTCCTAGGTGTTTTGAAAGCGTTGTTCGCGTTTGGTAGGAAGTTACGGTCTTAGTTCTAGACATTTTTCTGGGCGAGGTAGTGAAGTGTTGGCTGTGCCTGAATAACACACCTCGACGCGCTATGGTAACTGTTATAAAAAAATGTGGGAGGAAATTAGGAATGGGCAAGCAAAGACGTAGTTAACTATAGGAGTCAACGTCCGCACGGCTAGTGCTTAGAAATATTGGGTGATATGGGATAACCAAAGTCAGTAAAACAAATATCTAGCCCCCTAAAAATAATGGACATACAGACAAATTCTTTGTATGCAGACTTCAAATTCTAATGTAGTCTTGGCTCACACCTTGCCTTGAGATCACAAAATACTGCTCGAGGTGATAGAATAACGCTACTATTAGTTGGTACAGTCATAACCGCTTTTTTTCAGGGATGTATGGAGTCGATACTTCTTAACCTACGTGAACAGTACTACATTATATGCGTGGTAGTGCTCGCTCTTGTTTTTGTGGAGGTAAGTTATATTTTGACCCATACAATACTTGATTTTAGTTCTTCGGCGTGATACTTGCATGTTGCTATTCAAAGGCACCAAAGATGGACCGTTGAATGCTGCGCTTCAAAAATCTTAGTAATTAATATTTTCAACAAGTTTATTGACATTCATTTTTAATGTACAGCTTTCTTAAAATATATAATTTTTTGCACACAAGTGAGTTTTGTATCAATACAGGGTGACTCGAAAAGGTGTTTTATGCATCTCCATTGTATTCCGCCCTAATTTCAGCACCATACTCTCCATACTGTTGAATCATATCATCTCGACGGCGGTCACGGCGCTTATGATCACGATCCCGCTCATCTGGACTCCGGCGTTTTCGATGTCGGTCTCGACTCCCTAAAAAAGTTAAGCATAGTTTAGCATTGTGTACGTGTGTATGGTTAAAATCAGTTAACTTTCAAAAATAGATTAAACTCACGGCTACGACCGCGTCGATCACGTTCTTTTGATTTACTCCGAGATCGACTGCGCCTTCGTCTGTACTCTTTGTCGCGATCACGAACATGTGCACTTGAGATAGGTCGACCGAAACTGCGATCATGACTGGGATCACGTCCATTTTCATGTCTGCGATGAGACTTGTCACTTGGTCCTTGGCGATTCTTACCTAAGCCCTTGCCTATAAAGAATAAATAGCTCAAATATTAGTTACGAATAATCCCTAATGATGGTTTGACAAATATATTCAAAACAGGAGACCTGATAATGAAAAATATGGTTCGAAAAGTGAAAGGCTGGAGTTTGAGATCGAAGGGGAGGTAAGGAATAAATGTATCTGAGTCACTGGTTAGATTTGGCCCAAGGACCCCATCTACTGATTACGATTATCACGCCACCTGAATTCGGTATTTCTAAGTTTTACAATCTAATAAAAGCAACATCACGGGAGCATCGATGTCACTCGACGCACTAGGATACGAAAAGTATGAATTCGACTTTTCCGTCAGGTCGTGTGATGCTTAGATTATAATTACATCAACGGAACGCATTTTAGACATACTCGAATAATGATCCAGAAAACGAACATTCAAACGCTTATTTTGTAAGACCAGGTTCCCACTGACTTAAAAATATTTCTAACGAAATATCCAAGTTATGTCCGAGGGGAACATCAATGTCATAAAATGTGAGTACCGGTCTGAAACATGTATTTAAGCAGAGTATGTTACAATTACTACTCTTGTATTGTACTGTAGCCGGGACAACTTCGTTTCGGTTGTAGTGACACAGACACTCGAAGCAGCTATAAATTTACTTTTTATGATTACAAAATCACTTGTCTTAAGCGTGAAGATATTTAACGTTGACCAGAAATCCCAGGAATACTGCCTTTATTTAGTACACGCTGCATATAAAAGTGTAGTCAGATGTCTATTAAGAAAAACGCAGTCAATCGCAACGTGGAATCGTGGACACATGTACATTGGTTCAAGTTGTTACGTGACAGTAGTAAGAATATTAGTGTTAATAGAAATGATTAAGCATAAAAGAGAATTAAAGACTAAGATAATTAGGAAACTTAGGATCTAACGAAAGACAAAAGATCAATCGACTTGCACCATTGCAAATGATTTATGAACTGTCTCTAACTGTTGAACATCAGTGACGTAATAGTGATTTTGTAGGTCCAAAACTTTATTTCTCAGAATATTACGTATTAAGCATTTATCCGATCATGGGGCATTCTAGAATTTAAAATCTGATAGGATTATATATGACAGGTACTTGGAACTTTCATAACTATTTAATAAACTGAATCAAAACACTTGGAATATCACGAAGCAGTGGGTAAGGTTTAGGCCATACATTAAGTACTGGACAGGAATGATGTAAGTTGATGAGGCTCAGAACATTGACCAATTGAGTTAGTAAGGATGTTTTCTATATATTCTCAACCGCCATTTATCCTGCCACGTTATGCTTAAAAGTACGGAAACTCAACGATAAAAGCACTGAGTTTTTAACCGTCGAAGCGTGAGGTGACAAGACTTAACACTACTGAGGGTTGAAAACAGTATGTGCCCAACATGAATTTAATGTCTAACCGGACGCTCAACGGTAGCTGAAACAGAACTAGACTTAACAGAAAGAAGGTTGGTTGTGAATTCACTGACTAGTAATATTGTTTCCGAAACTGGATCGTTTAATTGTAGTTTTCGTCTTCCTAGATAACATCATCGACATGCACTTCGAAAGCTCTGCTTATAGAACAATTAGAAGTCTTGCTCCTGAACTATGAGGATCCATCATCTTCTAAGTCAAATTATATACTATTATATTGGGAGTATGAGATAGAGCTGGGATCAGACCTTAGCAGTCATAATAAAGCCTTGGATTTTTCAAACGAAAAATATACTTACACACCAAGTAAAATATTTATGACCTAAGCAATTTGTAGCAATGAGGACTATGCATAAACTAGCAACATTAGATAAATGAGGGGATGTTTATACATGGTGACCAAGTTGTGACAATACTCCTTAAGACAAAATCTGCAAATCAAATTGAAAGTGCGTTAGTAGTGAAGAATAATTTGCTGAAAGTAATCTTGAGCCTCTCCTGAGATGTTACAGAACCAAAACGCCGTAAAATCATTAGTCTCTAGTAGGCCGAACTAGAATAAAAACTCAACAAACATTGTGTAGGCTACTAGTTCAGGTGAAAAGATAGTTAACTGACATGCTGAGAAGTGTAGAGATGAAATGATTGACCTACGACAGCAGTTTCTATGAGCAGATAGATAAGTGACTATCATGGTGTTCATATAACTTACCTAAACGCCTAGGCCTCCAATCAGGACGAGTCCTTCCCCGCTCAACGTCTGTCACAACGCGGACACCATCGATTTTTCTGCCATTTAGGGCTTTGACGGCGGCTTGAGTGTTAAAAGGATTGTACATGACAATACAAGCACACAAAACAGGTTACACATGAAATCTCACTATTAGTACAAAAGAAATCACTTAAATATTTGGGACGTTTCATGAACAACTAGAATACAACATAATTTATAAGCGAACATACTGAACCGTTTCCCTTTATTTGATCCTTTTTCGGAAGTAGTTATTACCAGATGAGCGGCTTGCACTAACTTAGAAACTCACCAAGAGTATCCTTCCTTCTATGCACAACTACATAGAATGACAAAGAGCTTCAAACAAAGGTGTATTTACAAAACTCTATTTCGTTCAAGAACTGGGACTAACATATCAGTTAACCAGAAAAGGTCTGCCCTATGGTAGCAACAAATGTGGCTGACCATTAATTAGTAGCTTACCACACAAACAAACCTAAGCCAGATTTTCTGAAGTTAAGCGCTTGGCTGAAAACCATGATTTTAAAATGCAGTGCAGGCCATTCAAAATATTTTGAGGGTGAACACAACTGCACGTTTACGAATAGATGCCTGAAGAGAAAAGAGAACAAACCATACAATGAAGGCTATGAAGAGCTAATTAACTATTTCGGCCTATAAACATGACACCCCTACGAATCACCACACTGAAAATGGGTTAACTAAAGATCACTGAGCAACTGTGAGCGGTGTTACAAAGTAAATATGGCAGCTCACCATGCATATCACGTTCATGTTCAAACTCCACAAAACAATATCCACGAGGCTTCCCCGTTATAACATTCTTTACCATTACAATCTACAAACCAGAATATAAATTAAAGATAAGGTTACGTTGTTAATCCGCCCGAAGACATCAAGTTCCCGCTTCAGTTTGGATTCTGTGGTGTCATAGTTCTAGAAAGTCATAATGGTATGTTGTTGACTTACAAGTCTGGCTACAAACATTGTGTTGTAAGGATTGGAAGTAGCCTTTGGATTTTTCTTAGGATTCCCTAGACAAAATCCATTAAAAAAATCGGAATCCAACGTACATAATGCGAGATCTTGTTCAAGTTTATAATTGGCTTGCTCCTGTTTCTCTCGACGCTGTGGGACAAATTACATAACACCATTACTTACTTTTCTTTCCTTACGTTCCTCACGAGTTTCTATGCGCACTGGGGCTGGAGTTTCAGACGCATCCTAACAAAAAAAGAAGTGCTTATAGAATAAGGGTAACAAAAGCATGGAATTTAACAGAAGCACCTTAGTACATTTGAAAGATTACTACTTAACATTAGTTAGAAACTTACTTCAAACTCTCCCAAGAATTGAGCTACACCGGTATATGGTAATTTCCTATGATTTGCATGTTTTTCTATTGGTGGGAGGAAAGGGATTGGATCTCGTGGTGCGAAAAGCGCCAACAAATTAGGTGGTAAAAACTGTGTCATTCTCGAGGTTTTGAACAGTGCGCCTCGATGGTAAAGTCACGTCATAAAACGAAAACAACTAATTTAAATAAGCTCTGAAAGAAAAACAAATGAATATATTAAGTTTAATTAGTAATATCACACTGTTTCTTTGCATCACTCAGTGAATCAGATCTCACGTAACAACTTTCAGCTGAAACTGAAGTTACTGTAGAATTGGATTTTCCTTAACCTTATCTTACGTAGATAAAGCAGAATGCGATAATCAATTTACTTACAACTTTATCTTTTCAGAAGAGATTTCACACTTTTTTTCTTGATTTTTTTAATTACACAGCTAGTCATCACAATTTGTTGGACGTTTAGCCTAGTCATGGTCATTGTACGATTCTGATTGGCTAGTTTTTACATTTGTGCCTACACATGCGTTTTCCCTTTATGGATATCCCAAGTTTCATATTTTGTTCTCACTTTTGTAACAAGTGACTTTTAAAGTTACATACTGAGGATTAAAAAGACTCACAAATCTATCCACTTTTAATAAATCATACTTGAGAAATTAATCTCCTAAGACGCCGATAACTGTGTTGAAAACTTTATTCACATGAAATCAACAGAAGAATTTCAAGATCTATATACTGAAAAAATTCAGCAGCCACAAAGCATAATACACAGTTTACTATGTGTCGTTGTGTAACAGATCAGGTAAAAACATTTAATTTTGGATGTTTTCATGGACAACTCAAAGTCAGAATGACCGATCAGCGCATTGTGATTAATGTTAGTGGTCTTCGCTTCGAAACTCATACTGACACTCTAAATCGTTTCCCAAATACACTACTTGGATGTCCGTTCCGAAGAAGCCGTTATTATGATTCTCTTAGAAATGAATATTTTTTTGACCGCAATCGTCCAAGTTTTGATGCAATACTCTATTTTTATCAGAGTGGTGGAAGACTTAGAAGACCTGTTAATGTACCAATAGATGTTTTTACGGAGGAAATAAAATTCTATGATCTAGGGGAAGAAATTTTCGAACGTTATCGTGAAGACGAAGGATTCACTAAAGAAGATATCCATATTCTACCTAAAAATAAATTCCAACGGAAAGTTTGGTTACTTTTCGAATACCCCGAGAGTTCAACTGCAGCAAGATGTATAGCTATTGTTTCCTTATTAGTCATTCTTATATCAATTATTATATTTTGTGTTGAGACGCTACCACATTTTAGGCACTATGAACTTCAATTTATCGAAGATTCTAATGAACTACCAATAATTTCTGCTGTTGATACTCCTCAAGTTACAGGAACACTATTTATTTTAGAATCTATATGTGTTGTATGGTATACCTTTGAATTATTAATACGTTTTGCAGCTTGTCCACAAAAGTTAGCATTTTTTAGACAGGTAATGAATCTTATCGATGTGGTATCAATTATTCCTTATGCAATTTCAATAGGGGCACTTTTAGCTGAGGCTAACAAAGGCCAAAATCAAGCTATGTCATTAGCAATTTTAAGAGTGATCAGGCTTGTCAGAGTTTTTCGCATATTTAAATTGTCACGTCATTCTAAAGGACTACAAGTTCTAGGGAGGACACTCAAAGCAAGTTTTCGTGAATTATGTTTACTTTGTTTCTTTTTATTTGTTTGTGTGGTTCTGTTTTCGGCTGCAGTTTATTTTGCTGAGGCCGATGCTAGTGAAGAACAATTTCCAAGTATTATTGATGCATTTTGGTGGGCAGTAGTGACAATGACTACAGTAGGATACGGAGATATGAGACCTGTAACAATGTGGGGAAAGATTGTAGGTTCAATGTGTGCAATTGCAGGTGTTCTAACTATAGCACTTCCTGTACCCGTTATTGTATCAAACTTTAATTATTTTTATCATAGAGAGTCAGAAAGTGAAGAACTAACTACTTATGTCCATGTCTCAGATGATCAAAAGGGTTTTAATTATTCCGATAATAAAGCTCTAGGTAATTTTCATGATCAAACACTTGAGGATAGAAATGAAGAAAAATACAAAGGAAGGAAGGCTGCAGTAATTTTACGACAATCTTTTTCACAACCGTCTGATCGTGAAAGAATTTCTTCTGTATTAAGTAGTACTTTAAAAAATCTTGAAGTAGAACATGAGGAGGTATCCAGTTGTATAGATTCATTAGGTGAATTAGACAATCTATGCATGGAAGCAAGAAATTCTCAGGTGAATACAAATCAAGCCTCTATATCATACAGACATCATCATCAAGCTTTTCAAGAGGTTATGCAAAAACACGATATGCAAACACAGCGATTTAAAGATCTATATCCTCAACAATTGATAGCATCTAATAATAAAAGAATTTCACTTTTAACTCATTCAACAGTTTTTCCAGAAGAATCTTGTTTGAACAAAACCTGATATATAATTCATTGATGCTTATCATGTATGTTCACTTGGTTGTTACTTCCCTTATTATTCGGATTTACTAAACTGGAGAATTTATAAATATTGGATACACAATAACCAAGTCAATTATATATTTACACAAGCCTTCAATATATATATATATATATATATATATATATATATATATATATATATATATATATATATATTTGTTTAAAACTCCGGTGTTTAAATGAACGACGATATTTAACATGTTCTGTTATGAAATGTTTTTATTTGATCAACATCTAATGAATAAGACAAAAGACTTAATGTTAAAAAGATCAATATATTCTTCACAAACACATACACACACACTTTCCTCTTCATTTTATAACTTTCTGAAATGGAAATTCATTCTATAAAAAAGGTCAGTTGGTTGATAACTAATTTTTTCTAAATATTTTCATAATATTTCATTCTCCTAGATTGAAATCATGAATCAGTTGAAGCTGGACCACCATTGAAAACCTGGAGGCACTGGACGGCCGTTTCGTCCCAATATGAGACTCCTCAGCAGCGCGCATCCACGACCTAGCACCACTCGGGTTTCGAACCCAGGACCTACTGGCTACGCGCGCGAGCACTTAACCATTAGACCACTGAGCCGGCATCCAACGGTGTTAATGTCTAACTTCAACCAATCCACGAAGTTGCGCTACCGTACACCATTGTTTTCAGTGAGTTCCTATCTCACAACAGACCTGGGTGAACTCCACTGGTAACGACTTCTCACTAGAACTCCAGAAGTGTCTCCTGAAGTCACTCACTAGTGAGCAGGTGATTATTATTACCAGAATGTGTTTTGTGGAGATTTTTAGAAATTTTCCCAGACTGAAACGGCCGTCCAGTGCTTCCAGGTTTTCAATGATGGTCTAGCTTCAACTGACTCATGATTTCAATCTGTGAAATTTCTAAAATCCCAATGATGATAATAACAAAAAAAGTATATTTATTATCTGTTCATAAACGTTTTTTTTTATATGATGACATAGCAACAAAAAAGTATCTAAACTAATGAGTAAACTTTATTGAAACATATTGAATATATTTCATACCTATTTTATCAGACATCATCCCCCAACTCATTAATCTACCATTGTCATTATTCATACGAAATAATTCTACAGATTATCTCTTAAACATACTAATTGTCAATAATACGGTTTTTTTTTCTTTTCAAAAGAAAATTGATTTATGGAGATGAACAACTGATGATTCTTTTGTTTTTTTTTGGTGACAAATATGATAATGAGGAAATAATAATTCAGGGGAAAAAATGGATACAAATTAAAAGCCATAGTAATAATAATAATAATAATAATAATAATAATAATAATATGATGTTATCGATATTCTATCAGATGTGTAACGAACAAACTTACTAGATAAAATCTTTATTGGGTTTGAGAATTTATTGATTTCTCTTTAATTAGTTTGTCGTTAGTTTTTCTTTTTTTTTTACTAGATGACTGTAATACAAGTGCACATAGTTAGATAAGTTTGAATGTCAATATGTATACGTGTGAATGTTAGTATGATTTTTATTATCTTGACATTTAATGGATATAGGTCATGCTTCTTGTTATTAGGGTATATAATGTTTATCATCATTGATTTACAAGGCCTAGTTTATCATCCGCCCATAATGAAATTGTGTGAGAAGTCATTGTATATGGTTTATGAAAGAGATATGTTATAAAACTTAAAAAAAAACTTGTTTTTAGTTTTATTAATAACTTACTAAGTAAGGTTATCCTCGTTATAACGATTCTTTTGAGTCACCATTAAAATTCACACCTCTGTAACCTAGCTCCTTAAGACCAAAACAAGATGAGACCTGAATACTAAAGTTCACTGATAATCAAATTATAATTCTCCTTTTACATTAATCTAAACTGTCAGTCTATAAGTTATCCTGACTGATGTACCCGGACATGTGTCATTCCAATAACTTTTTGTAATCTTCATTGACATATAATATTCAACATTAAAAATGTTTATTAAATAGCTATTGTTTTTTAATAAATGAAACTTGCTGACACTTTTCGGATAGAAAATGCAGTTAAGTAATCTTTTTTAACTCCCGAAAATGTGCATTAAATAAAGTAAATTACTCCGAGTTTCTCTTCAAAGTGTGAATTAATCAGTTTTCTAATATTTGGGTGATTTGTTGTTTGTACAAACTAATTCAATTCATAATTTGATTTGTTATCAGGAAGAATACAATGCAATGTTAATTGTCAGTGATTGCCACTATTTACTGTTCACAAAGACAATAATTCCCGCAAATGCCAAATACTTTCATAAATGACTATTTATTGATAAGACTATTATATCCATCGGGGTTTCCGGTCGCCCTACAATACTTGACAATTAAGATACGAGTGAGCTATTCAAATACGAACGGTTTTATGGCCAGCTCTATAACGGCAGCTGACACACAATAGCTCAATAATTATCGGCTAACGCAAGATAAAAATGAACTGTAAGGGAAACCTGTTGTTCAATCAGAAAAGCCTGAAATGGTACAACTCAGTATACACAGTGACCAGACCATAACCTTCAAGCATATGAAACAGCGAGTTAAAAGTAATGGCAGCCAGTAAGAAAACGGCAATGG